AGTGTGGTGACTATTTGTTTGAATAGATAGCATTTTTAAGTTTGGGTACACTAATTTTTCTCGAAAATTACAAAATTATCACTAATGGAAATTGCTACGTTGTTTTGTGTTCTGAAATACAAATGAGGATATGTGTCATAAAAGATTGCAATATATCTTCTTATCAACTGACAACTGTGCAACCCTAGGTGTGGGATATACAAGCTAATTCTAGGATTATACACGTGAGTTTTGGGGAAGAAAGGCTTCTGCAAAGGTAGGAATAGATATTTCGTATCCACTCATTAAATAAAAAATAAAATACCATTTTTAGGGTAAGTGTTATGAAATAAGATGGAAGCTACGCGTTAAGCAAGTAATGAGAAAGAAGATACAAACTGAATAGATTCTATATTGAGATGATAGGAAGATGGCAAGAGCCTAGTACAGGCTATTAGATAAGCACAAGGGTCTACCTGTGAAGACCCAAATATGAAGAGTTCTCTTCTTAATTGTCACACGTGTATTCTTCACACACCCCTCAAGTTGGATTATATAAAATATGCCCAGCTTGCATAGTAATTGTTGCAAAATAAAGTTTACAAATTGCAAGAAATTGTGAAAAATCCATATCCCCCCCCCCCCCCCCCTTCCCTTTTCACTTGAAACTTGGGAAGATCCAGCAACTCTTAAGAAACACTCAGCAAGCCCATTCTGTGGCCATATTGGCCTACTCCACCAGGTAAATCTTTACTCTTATGGACCACTCTCAACAAGCCCTTACAAAGATCAGCATCACATAGCCTTAAAGCCTAAAATATCCATCAACAGTATTGCACACCCTTGCTTGTAGGTAAGGAGGCCCTACTAAGAGCCAAACCGATCAGTCAAGAATCTTTGAATAACATCTTTGCACTATGCAACCCAACCGTTGTCTTAGGTTCCCTCAGAATACTCTGGACCATATCCACTTAATGCACTAACCCTTTACTAACATCTGCATTTTCAATAGAATTTAATGGCATAACAAATTACAAGGCTGACTATTCACTGAATTCACTGCATTTAATGACACAACAGAAACTAGGCCAGCTCTGACGTGAAGCCTTTCCAGATTACACAGTAGCTACGGAATCTTATTTCCCTGTTCTTCTGGTTCCCCATATCTACTGAACAATCAAGAATCCCCAGTAGGAATTCACGTAGGAGGAGCACTAACAATGGGTATCAACTTTGTCACCACCGGCATAAGCAAGAAGATAAAATGCAGAGTCCTAAAGACCGATGATGTTCAAAGAATCCACGATAATCTGTAGGTGTGGTTCAAGTTGTATTGATGTATGGTTCAGAGAGCAAGTTCAGTGATGTGATACACTGATACCCACAGCGCTCCATCAACCTTTTAGCCTTTAACTCCTATCAACACATCAAAACCCTTATTGCTCCAATTTGCTGCTTATTCACCGGACAGAAATAGTAACAGCAACAGAAGTTCCTACCTTGGCTTTTGCTTACAAGCTTCGTGGCTCTAATACACCACCAGCCAGTAAGGTGAAAGCTCTGTGTTAAGCAAGTAGAGAGAAAGAAGATATAAACTAGATTGATTCTATATTTACATGATAGGAGGATTATAAAACCCTAGTATTTATTGGCCATTAATAAGCTAAAAGGGCCTATAAATGAAGAGCCAAAGGCTCCTAGAAATATGAAAGGGTTTTCTACATAAACGTCACGGTGTGTATTCGTCACAAAAGCAAATCCAGTAAAACTCCTTCGTTTAATAACCTAAGCAAGTTTTTGGAAACAGTAACTTAGAATATAATCCCAAAAAAAAAAACCATGTGACGTCACAAGCAGTGCACTTTTGGGAATTCATACACACACTCCCATGCGTGCATTTATACTTTACGCCCAATTAGCTAGGTATAAAATACTACAGTGGAAAACAAAAATCAAATAACAGTAGTATAGTACTTTCCATTTGAATCTAAAAACATACTCTTTTTACAAAATTCATCACCCAAAACAACTACACTTGTAATGAATCTAAAAACATACTCTTATTACAAAATTCATTACCCAAAACAACTACACTTGTAATGAATCTAAAAACATACTCTTTTTACAAAATTCATCACCCAAAACATCTACACTTGTAATGCCATGTTAGCTCAACAACCCAAGCACCAGTGCACATTTGAAGAATAAAAACCAACTACTCCATAACAAAAGTAACACAAGTCCCAGCCAGGTAAACTCCATCCCCCTAACCCACTCCCTCCTTCATTCTCATCATCAGGAAGCTCAACACTTATATATATAATATATTACATCTCTCACTTCACATTATTATATGCACATAACAAAGTTCCCATTATAGGGAAAATACTTGCATTAAGCAAATAGAAACCAATGCAACACGAAGATAGACACATTCCAAGACTAGTAAAGCTTGCATCCAAAACATAGCGGAATGACATTTGACATCAAGTAGACAAAATTTAACATGTAATCAAGTCAAATATCTGTTAACTGCATAAACTTGAAATCATCATGAAGAAGGGTTTCTTCAAACTATTGTTACTTACATAGAGAAGGTTTCATACAACAATCTAAACCAACACAACATAAAATTAGCTACATTCATCAAAGTTAACAAAGAATAAAAATAGACGATTGTGCTAAAGGCTTAAATTCAATAAAAGAAAATCGAAGCACCAGAAAGGTCGTTTTTTTTATCACTTGATATACCAAAATCCGAGACCCATCTCACAAAATTAAAGAACGATAGAAAAAATCCAATCTTTAAACACAGATAAGGATAAAGAAAGTGTGGGTGCGAGTATATCGATAGAAGCGGATAGAGTATCTGAGCAAAATACCGTCTGTATACGAGTAGATGTCCTTGGTGAAACCCCTCTTCTCTGAGGGAAAGAAGCAGAATAAGAGCAGATAGACTGGGAAGTGGCGGTGAAGGGGCAGCAGTTATTGAGCGACAAGTGAACAATTTTGGAGAAATTTGGAGGAAGAGGCAACACAGAGAGCCTCATTCCCAGTGAGGGACTAGTCATTTTCTCTCCCTTTGTATTATAATAATACTCTATTATATGCTCTCCTTTCAATCTTGCTGAGGATTTGTGCTCCTCTTCTCCCCTTTTCACACCCCGTTTTGCTTTGCCACAGACCCACGCGCAGGGGCGGAAAAAGAGAGGTGGAGATGGGGGTGACGTTGATGTATATGGACTGGACTGTGGGATTGAGCATGGAAAAGGGTTTTTACTTTTCCTCTCTTTTTGTTTCTCTATTTTTTATTGGAAAAGGTTAATTAATATTTTCGAATAATTAAGCAAATCTCATTTTTAGATTTTGTGATATTATCACATTTATTTATGGATCCGTTAGAAATATGAGAAAAAATATATTTTTATAATCTTTTTAAAAACGTATTTATTTTTCATAAAATATTTTTATTTTCTGATATTTGATTTAAAGTCAGACAAATAATATTTATAACAAATTATATTTTGAGGTATAGGTTAGATCATGTTAAAAAAAAAAATTAGTCTGATCCAACTTGACCATGCCTATATTTTAACTAGAGTATAGTCCAATTTAACTCAAATAATAACAAGACAGGTAGTGAGTCAACTCATTCCACTTAGAGCATGTGAGAGAGAAAGAACTAAATGTGAGATAGAAATTCAAAAAATGTCTCAAAATCTGGGAATACATTTTCTAGTAAAATAAGTTATTTTTCTTTTTGAGCAAAATGAGTATTTTTCATTGATTTCATTTTCTATTCATAGCTAGACACTACAAATTTTGAAAAAATGAATTTCAAAAGTTATTTTTTGAGTTTCTAAACGAACCCTTAGTTATACTGTTTTTTGTTATCTTATTACATTTTTGTACTTTAATTTGTTTGATACAATTAGTTATGCATTTAATTTTTTTTATCCACCATTTAATAAATATGACTAGCATGTAATTTTATCATTCTATTAAAATAGTGTACGAATAAGAGAGAAAATTTACATATTGGTATAAGAGACTTAAATGAATAAATTGTATGTTAACTCTCTTAGTAAACGAATGACTAATTGTGATAAATAAATAAAGTTAATATTATAACCAGACAAATTTTAGAAAGCAAGATTACATGTAGTAACAAAAGTGAATGACTATGTTCAAATAATACTATACATACTTTTATATTTTGACTTTTTATTTAGTTTATGTTTTTTTTTAATTGGTTCATAAAAAGTCACATTTTTATTCATTTTATTCTCTCTTCTTCTTCTTTTTTTTCTTTTTTCTTTCTGTTTTTTTACGAGCACTTTGTCATCACTTTCACACCTCAACGGCTCAACCCATTCATGCATGTTTAATTTCCATCATTCATGTTTTGGCAAAGTATACATTTTTGTGGTTGTGCATACAACATTTAGTATCTATACCACTTTAATTAGTCTTGCATGAAGACTATATATGCATGATTTTAAATATTTTAAGTTTACTATGCAAATCTATATATCTATATATGTATAATATACTAAACACAACATTTTATTAATATCATACGCCTTTTGACAATAGTGAGTGACATGCATATATTTATAATTTTGTATAAATTGTACAAGTGATTAAATGTGTTAGGTGTATCGTTTTATTTTTAGAATTTACGTAAGCATTTCCCAATTCCCATATTGATTTGCTGTCCCAAAATAGTAATATGTATCATATTGAAACAGTCTAACTTAAGCGTGATAATAACGTTGTCCTCCTGTCATCTTACGTGTCAAATTAATGCCGCGGAGGCTAACATTTTGTCAACTTAATTTTCATCAAATCAACAACGTGTATTATTCACAATGGAGGGTTGACATATTATCTTAATCTTCTCTGATGATTTGCGTTTAAAAATTTTATTTGTTCACGTAACGTTGTTGAATATAGTACAAAGGTTACTGTGAATCAGTCTCAGTATGTTTACCAAAAAATGAAGACAAATTCTGGACCGATGGATGAAGGGAAATAATTGAGTCTCAGAAAAACGTACTGGTTACAGATATGCGTGTCTGTCTCAGATATATTAGAACTAAAGTGATATATATATATATCCAATAAGCTGCTTACATTACATACCACACAAATAATCCCAAAAACGATCTGATAATGACACAGTACAGGAGGAGTTCACTGTTCACCTAAAGCCGTGATGTGATTTGATGGAAACAAAGTAGGCAGCCAACTTGTGTAACATGAATAATTCTAATGTTGTCTACCCGACCAAGATTTTTATTTTATATGTGTATCTTAATGTACTGAAGAGCAGCAAACAAAGGGTACCCAGTATGCTTTCCCTTTCTTCTTTTCCTTCTTAATACCAACTGGATACCTTGCCGGAGAATCCCATTCTTTCTCGACAGCCTCCTTTGGAGCAGTCGGTGGCTCAAAGGTTAGAATTGAGTTCACCGTGGTGGTGGTGGCTGTAGCAGCAGTGTTGTGAGTGGCGGTTTCATCTTTTTGTGTCACTTGTTTAGTGTTTGGTGGCGATTTGGCCTCGCCCAGGAGATTTTTCAGGGGAGTGTGTTGCTTGCCTGTGCTCCAGTTTGTGACTTTGGCAATGATCTCCTCATTTTTCTTCCGCCCTTGAGACTCGTTCACAACATTATTCAGAGATGGAAACCACCCAGCCTTCAGAGGATCGGATTTGGGATGTTGCGCATTTTCAATCTCTGAACCAGATTCCACCAAAGTCATGAAAGATGGAGGCTCGAATGTGTCAGACTTGTCAGGGTTTCTTTCCACTTTTGTCTTTTGATTTTCTTGTGCTCCAGAATCAGGGGCTGGTGTCTCTGACTGGATAGAAAGCACTGTTTCATTCAACATAACCAACCATGTAATCAGATGAAGAACAGATAGGATAGGAAACAAGTATAGTACGCAAGATTTGATAACCTTATATGAAAGATACGGGTCTTACAAGAGAACTGATATGGATGTGCTAGATGAACGTAAGACTACTTTATAGTACAAAGAGTTAACACTGTTGTAGATAACCGATTAAACTCTCACAGACTACTAATCCCTAAAAGCTACTGTAATAAAATTCACCAATTCATTTTTTAATTTAAAGAAATGTTTTTTTCCTCAAGAAGCTTTAATCGAACTATATATTGCATAGAGGGAGACAAGACAGTACCTGAAACAGATCCCCAGTTGGCTTCCAAGCTATCAGTTCTGCTACTTGATGCCACTGACATATCAACTGCAGTAACACCGTCTTGCTGTTTTCTGGTTTTGTCATCACCTTCGCCCTTTAAGGGAACAGAACCAACTCCTATATTATTATTTTCCACAGTAGCAGAATTCCCCGAATTCAAGTCAACAGGCAAACTTGTTGACTCACTAAAAGTGGGACCCTCGTAGGGTTTTTCCTGAAGGCTTACATCTGCATGTTTTCCAGAAATTGAAGAAATGGGTTCCACATTTTCATGATTTCTTTCAGCATCCCCAGCTGCATTAGTCGATTCTAGTACTGTGACTGAAGAATCGTGCTTTGATTCTATGTTGACCATCTTGTCCTTTGCATCTTCTCCTCTGTGTTCACTCCCAGCAGCTATATTTTGCACTTCAGTCCTAGCTTTATCATGAAGTGAACCATCACCAACTCCAAGAGTTTGATAATCTTCAGCTCCTCCTCCAGTTAACTTTGCCAGTTTTCCCCCAGTCTCTTCCATGCTCCTCGACCTTTCTACATCCAAACATTTAGTTCCAGATTTTTCAAGATCAGGATGGTCATCTCCTTCAAAAGAAACAGGAGTTTGTGTCTCTTCAAATCCAAATCCTATCTTTGCATCAGCAGAATACTCATCCTGTGGATGTCCTTCCCTGCTCTCATTTTCAGCCGGAAAAGACATCTTGGTTGTATCCATTGCACAATCATAAAAAATTTCACTTCCTCCTCGTGTAATTGTTTGCCTGACTTCATCACCCGAAGAAGGAGCAATAGAATTATTATCTGAGTCGCCCGGTTGCTTACCTTGTTTAAAAGAATTTTGCGAAGACTCATCCTTAGTTGGGTCCAAATTCTCCAAGGTAATCGGAGCAGATACTGAAATTTCCTCCTCTGGATCAATTTTTCCCTCAATAGGAACTTTGCCATCATCCTTAGTAATGTCATCTCCTGAAGCATCTAAGATTGTGGGAACTATTTGCCCAACATCCCCACCCGTACAAGGGGCAATAGAATTCTCATCTGAATGGGCAAGTGGTTTACATTGTTGAAAAGAATTTTGTGAAGACTCATCCTCCGTAGAATGACTATTAGTTGGCTCAAAACTCAATATCGGTGACTCCAAGGTAGCTGGAACAGATATCGAAGATCCAAGATTTTCATCATTTATCACCTCTGATGATCCATTTAGATCAATTTTTCCCTCTATAGGAACTTTGCCATCTCCTGAAGCATCTAAGATTGAAGGAGGCTCAAGTAGGCTCTGGTCGGGCTTAACATCATCCTGTGCAGAGCTAATTCCTTCATCACCAGCACCGAGATCAAGTGCAAGGTTAGATTTTAAATATTTGTAATCTTTGTATTCTTGAACCGCAAGTCCAGCATTGTGTAAAGAAGATACGTCTTTTGCCTCAGATAGCAGATGCACATCTTCCTTCTCTTCCACTTCTGTTTTGCATAACTCAACAAAATCATTTTGGCACCTTCCCTCTATATCCTCAGTGTCTGTCTTCTGCAGAGGAGAAACTTGAAGAAAGACGCCACTTTCATCCTTCCCTCCCATCTTAGTTTCCAACTCATCACTTGGCTCTAACTTTCTATCCAGACTCACAACCTCTGAAGCATTGCCATCTGCCTGACACTGATCAGAATTCTGGTCTAGCGGGCATGGGATTTTTACATCTTCACCATTTGACTTAGATTCCAGTATAATATGTCCTGGAGTATCTCTAGCCCCCTCGAGTAACTCAGGTTCCAAACTAGAAGAGCTTGATACTTTGTTTTCTGCTTCAACTGACTTAGATCCCAGTATAATATGTCCTGGAGCATCTCTAGCTTCCTCGAGTAACTCAGGCTCCAAACTGGACGACTCCACTTCTTCTTTCTGGCTTAGACTAGAAGTCTTTTCCTCTCCCTCTTGTACTGCTGTCTTCACTGAATCAGATTCCGATAATCTACTTTGCAACGGAGCTATGTCCCTTGAAGATTCTACAGCATCAGCTAGAATCTCACCGGCATTTGCATGTTCATTTTCTTGTACACAAATGTCCTTCATTTCATTACTCATCACGACTTCCTCACCGGTTGCTTTTATATTCTCCAAAATTGGAGCCACGTCCAACTGTTGACCACTTGGTTCATTGAGCCCAATAGAGTCTTTGGATTTTGATCCAAAAGGTGTAGTAGCATCTAAAGGCTTCACTTCACTTCCCAGCAGTTGAGGATCTCCTAATTGGCTCGTCTTTAACGGATCATCAAGTGGTTTGGAAGCATCTGCATTTAATAAAAGTCACTTCTATATTCTAATAAAGTTCACAAAACTTTCAAACCCCCGTGTAATAATACTTCTAGTCAAAATTGTAAACGCAAATAAACAAAATAGTTTAGAGACATACTCGAGCCAGCAACCCACTCCATAATTTGGTCTATTAACCAACAGACCAAATTATGTACTGGATTGGATCATAATGCAGGCAACAAACAGAAAATTGAACCCTTTTTTGCAGCTGGGAAAAATACACACATATAATGAACTTCAACCAATAAACAAAATACCAGCATATTCTAATAAGGAAAATGCTTTCTTCCCCTCCTAATGTGGCTTCCATTCATTGGGGGCTCACGAATTGGATGACCCCACCACTAATTAAAAAGAGAATTTAGTTATCAATTAGATAGTGCCACATCATGAGGGATGGATTGGAGGCGGAAAATAGGACGGGTATCTAGCATTACTCTTCTAATAAAATAAAAAAAATCCATATTGGTATTCCATTTGAACCCACATCTTGTATTGTAGACTTTGTAGTATACATTTAATGGAGAATTTCTGCATTACCATTGAAATCTACCAAATCAAGGGTGGTGTGCCTCTATTGAAGTTTTGGTACTGTCAAGGGTCCCATGCCATTAATTACTATAGCAACTTTTGCATGACCATAATTTATTTGCTTGTTTACTAAGGAAAGCAATTCCTTTCAATAATAATCCTATATAAGAAGCAAATTGCTTTGCACTATAATGTTACCAGAAATTCAATATCTATAACCAATATTACAGACTATTCCTACCCGGCAATTGATCTCATATGCAAAGCATAACAGTTGATATCAATAAATGCGTACCAGTAGGTGCATCAACCTTGGGTAACTCATCGCCCCCCGGAAATTTTTGAGCATGTTTGCCCAATTTTATAGCAGCCTCCAAACCTTCATCCATGACTGGATTATGATGGGCACTATCAGAAAACTCTGTCATGGCATCAGAGAAAAGCTCATCCTCTGATCTAGTGGATTTGAAGCTAGCAGCAGCCTCTTTCAAACTTTTGTTGTTAACCTTAGGACCTTAAAACAACCAATTCACCAACATCAAACGCAGAAATAATTAAATAAAACCACGCGACCATAAAAGAAAAATGAATAGAACATTCAAGTGATTTAGGATTGCAAACAGGGAAATCTTACTTGGGGTTCGCGGATCATCATCGGAGGGGTGTTCGTCGTCCGAAATAGCCAAATGGGTGGCTTCAGATTCAGTAAGCTTATACCCCTCAATAGTTCCGCAGACCTTTTTATGGGCTCTCCTGTGCTTAGCACTCGGGTGCGGGTTTGGGAAAGGCCACCCACATTTGTGACACAAGTGCACGCCATGGCTCGCATGACCTGAAATTTCCAAAGAAAAAGAAACCCCATTTCACATCTCTCAACACCCAATATCTCACACAAACAAAACCAAGATTTTGACCAAAACAGCATAAAATTAAGCAAACACACACGTAAAGCAGTGAACTTTAAGCAAGAACAGAAACACCCTTTTTATCCAGCGCCGCGACACAGTAACCCAAGAAACGAGGAGTGATCGAGTGGAATTAGGTAGCAAAAAAGGGAGATTCTGATGAACAGTATAACAACAAACCTGACGACACCGTTGCTTTGTGATCTTGGTTCTCCATTTTTCACGAATACAGAGAGAAGAAGACAAGGAGAGCTGGAACACTGGAACAGGGAAAGAGAGAGAGAGACAGTGTGAAAATGCGGAGTGTTTGGAATGCAAAATAGAAAAATATTTTGGCGCAAGCGACGACGGGTGAGAGTGGGGTTGGGGGGTTGTTGAAGTGGTGAACTGACAGAGAAAGCCATCGATGATGATGAGAATGGATATGTGGTATCCTACACCATGTGCGCATTTTAGCACCCTCATGTGCCCTGACTTTTCAACGGACCCTTTTTATCCTTTTTTATTTTCTTTGGAGAATCCAATGACTAAAATTGACCTGTGCTCTTCGTGGTTGTACCTTTGTGACCTAAACGCCCCTGGGTGTAGTTCAATAGTGTCATGATTGCAATCCTCGGAGCTGTAAATTTTGGTGTCGGCTTCAAAACCAGTAAAAAAGAAATCAACTTTTGGTCCATATGGTAATTTCCACGGCTCAATCTATTTATTAATTGCCTCTAGCTTTGTTCCATGATAAAATTCTATCCTATCCTATCCAGCTATCCTTCTCCGAAACAACAGTACACTACCCCAAAAACGAAAATATTTTTTATATAGTAACAATAAAAGTATTATTTTATTATATAAATATCTACTCTTTTATATATAGTAATAAATCAATATTTTGATATTTTGACACCTAATCACCATAATATATATCACAATGTCATTAGTGAATTTTGTGTAATTGTGTTTGATAGTTTTTTCTTTTTTTACAATATTAAGTAATTGATAATATTAGCTTACAATATATAATTTAGTTTATATTTTAGTATCATTATAATATATTAAATTAACTATAGATATTTAATCAAATATATTAAAACTTTATTGTTTACAAAAAGTAACACTCACAAATTGTATAATGTATCATATAAGATACTATGAATAATAAATTTAATGTTAAATGAATTACATTTTCAAAAAATATAACGCTGGCCACTTTTTTAAGATGAAGAATGAAATTTTTGTAAATAAATAATTTTATTTTTATTATTTCTAAAAAAAAACACCTCATGTTTGTTGTTTATAATAATCAATATTCTTATTATTAAGTTTTTATTTGAAAATTAAACACATTTATAATTATTGTTTTAACAAATTAACCTAATCAAATTTGGGTTTTAAAATGAGATATTTCACAGGATGAAGAGATAGATATATACAATAGGCAAGTTTGGTTGTCCAAATTATAATATATGTCTTTTTTTTTTGAAAGGAAATTATAATATATGTCAATTTCTCAATAATGCTATCATTTTCAATTGGCACTGTTGCATTATAGTCGTTGTCATGGGGTTGGCATTCAAAAGGTATTAAGGATGCTATTGGTGATCAATTTACCACTAAATAAATAATTTCTTTAAACATATTACTTTGCTATTTATATTTTATAAACTAAAATTAATTCAGTCAAATTTATTTTGAGTTACGATCCTATTTGATTTGATATATCTAATTGAATATATACATATATATATATATATATATATATATATATATATATATATGACGGTAATAATGTTACCGGAAATATAATATAAGAGTAACGAATAAGAGAGTAACAATAGTTGTATTGTCTTTGTCTCAGTATAGAAAGTACAGTGTGTCCTGCTCAGCTGAGGGAAGTTCTATTTATGCTAGGTCCTAACGGTAACAACATGAAGAGACATCCTTGGGGAGCTGAGCTAACGGCAAGAATATGAAGAGTCATGAATGAGGCGTTGAGGCTTTAACTCTCTCTCATCAATGGTGGCATCAATGGTGGCTTCAATGACATTAGATGTGACACCTGTTGGAATTCTAACCGTTGGAGCATCCATGCGGTGTCGGGTCAACTATGGTGCCGGGTCAGATGCACACTTATGATCCGGGTCGGGTGCTAGCCCTATTATCCTGTCACCAGTCCCCCCTACTCCTGAGTCTACGAATGTGTTTGAGTTGACTTGGGAGTAAGGCTGAATCAATCGTGATACTGTGCCATCCTGATTGAGTTAGGATATGCGATTTTGTTTTCCAAATCCCTTCTTGCCTAAGCAATTTGAGCACCTTTCTATCAGCTCTTGTCACCATCCGCCGGTTTTTGCGGTTTAACATTACTTTTTTTTTTTTATTGCGGCGTGGGCCGGCTTCGGGTTGGGGCGCCGCCTCAGCCTGGCTGAGGCGGGTGCCTCGCCTTGTGGCCGAGGCACTGCGCTTCGGCCACGGCCGAGAGGCGCACTTGGTCGAGGCGTGCGCCTCGGCCGGGTGGCTGAGGCGTCGCCTCAGCCACTTGGCCGAGCCGTGCGCCCCGGTCATGTGGATGAGGCGTCGCCTCGGCCACTTGGCCGAGCCGTGTACCTCGACCCCTTTTTTTTTTTTTTTTTTTTTTTTGAGTGGCCGACGCGTCGCCTCGACCAGGAGGCCGAGGCGTGCGCCTTGGCCTTGGGCTGAGGCGCGGCCTCAGCCATCTAGCCGAGGCGTGTGCCCCGGCAATGTGGCTGAGGCGTCGCCTCGGCCACTTGGCCGAGGCGTGCGACTCGAACCTTTTTTTTTTTTTTTTTTTTTGAGTGGCCGAGACGTCGCCTTGACCAGGAGGCCGAGGCGTGCGCCTCGGCCTTGGGCTGAGGCGCGGCCTCGGCCATCTGGCCGAGGCGTGCACCTCGGCCTTGGGCTGAGGCGCGGCCTCAGCCATCTGGCCGTGGCGTGAGCCCCGGCCATGTGGCTGAGGCGTCGCCTCGGCCGAGGCGTGCCCCCCGGCCACTTGGCCGCGGTGTGCGCCTCGACCCCTTTTTTTTCTTTTTTTTTTTTTCGAGTGGCCGAGGCGCTACCTCGACCATCTAGTCGAGGCGTCGCCTCGACCAGGAGGCCGAGGCGTGCACCTCGGCCTTGGGCTGAGCCGTCGCCTCGACCTTTTTTTTTTTTTTTTTTTTTTTTTTTTTTCGAGTGGCTGAGACGTTGTCCAGCCCCCTTTTTTATTTATTTATTTTTTTTTATCGAGGCACCGCGCCTCGGCCTCAGCCGATAGCCGAGGCACCGCGCCTCAGGCTTTTTTTTTTTTTTATTTTTTTTTTTTTAGAGTGTAGTGACGGCCGTGGTTGATTGAATGTGGTTTTGAAAACCTTTTTATTTGAGAGCGAAGTAACCTGGGCGGACCATGATTACTAAATATTGTTTACAGGTCTGGGCGGGCCACGACTACATCGTATTACTGATAATATCTAATTAAATTTTCTGAGTTCCGTACCCGATCGATCATCCTTGAAAATGGTGTGGACTTGTGGATTCTTTCCGCCAATCTTTTTGCATGCTTTTACGTAACAACTGCGGGCTGCTCGCTGGTTTCCTCTGACGACCCCTATCCCATTCGGAGTAGGGAACTTCATACACAAGTGTTCCACCGACACTATGGCCTTGAGGTCCTCCAGTGCCGGCCTCCCCAAAATGATGTTGTGCGCACAAGTGAGTCTTACCACGATGAATTCCATGTCAAGTTTGCGAATGTTAGGGCTCGTGCCTATCTCTACTGGTAAGGCCACCGACCCCTCCGTCTCCACTGAATCACCCGTAAATCCAGAGAGTGGGGTACGTACTTCTTTGAGCTGGTTCCTAGGTATCCCTAACTTGGTGAAGGCATCGTAATACATCACATTGACTGAGCTTCCCGTGTCGACTAAGATGCGGCGGATAATGACATCGTTGACGTCCATCTCAATCACCAGGGCGTCACGATGGGGTAGCGGGCCCTCTGGGAGGTCATCATTAGAGAAGGTGATGGCCTCCTGTCTTTGTTTCTTTTCTCTAGGAAGACTCGCCACTTCTCCCACGTATATCTGTCGGCTCCACTTCTTTCTTTTTGCGGGCGCGTCGCCCCCTGCGGGTCCACCATAGATAAAGTGTATGGTGTGATTCTTTTGTCGTCTGGGCGCCACCTCAGTTTCTTTCTCGCTATCACTCTGCTCAGATATTTGGTCGTGGTCTCTTTTTTTGGCGTTTGAGGTGGACGGCTCGGTGCCATCCTCATTCATCCAGACATTTTTTGGTGGATTGTGTTGCGGCTGTTGCTGCTGCTTGGATCGCTTGACGAAATGTCGGAAGTAGCCCTGCTGGATGAGGTCTTCTATTTGTCTCTTCAAAACGTGACACTCATCCGTATCGTGTCCGGCATGCCTATGAAACCTGCAGTACTTTGTTTGGTCTGCCTTTGGGGAGACCTTCATGCACTCCTCGGGGAATTCTACCATTCCCATCTCCTCAGCTTGCTTTAGAATGACACTGACGGGATGGGTAAGAGGAGTTAAATTACGCAAGGGGACCAGGCGAGGTCGTTCATAGTCTCGGCCCTTCCCTGCGGTCGGGTGGTTCGAGAGTGGTGCCTGGCTGGGCGGACCAGCTTTCCCAGGTTTCCCGTTTTTCCTGTCGTCCTCCTCATCTTTCTTTTTCCTGTCGACGTCCTCTGCCTCGGCATAGCGGCTAGCCGTCCTCATCAAATCTTCGTAAGAACGGGGGTGGTGGGCGTTCAGCTGCTTGTGGAAATACCCTGACCTTAAGGCATGGATAAATATTGGGATCGCCGCCTTGGAGTCAAAGTCGTAGACATTATTGACTTCCTTTTTCCATTTGATCAGGAAGTTTTTTAGGCTCTCGCCTCTATCTTGCTTCACTACACAGAGGTGAGAGAAGGGTTTCTTACGCTGTATGCTACCGGAGAAGTATGTTAGGAAGCTCTTGGACAACTCCCCAAAGTTTTGGATCGACCCATCTGGGATGGTGTTGAACCAGTCTTGGGCCGCTCCATACAGGGTGGACAAGAACGCTCGGCACATGATGGCGTCCCCTGCCCCGATCATTACCATAGCAGCCTTGTACCTCGTCATGTGGACACGTGGACCAGTGGCCCCCGTGTACTCCTTGATAGCGGGCAACCTAAAGTCCCTCGGCAAAGGTACGTCCATGATGCTTGGGGAGAATGGTGCTGTCATCCGTACCTCGGGTTCCGGCGACTGCTCCCGTGCCTCCACCCTTCTTGCTAACTCCTCGATTCTTCTCTGCAGCCTCTCGACCAGGGCCGACTCGTCAGGGTGCCGGCGCGGGGCCGGCTGCCGCTCCTCCATGTGTCGTCGTGGAGCTAGTTCATCAACGCGTC